CAGTCGCCTTTTAAAAGAGGGACAGGGTTCATAGCCACATTTCAGTTAAAAAAAATAAGCACCTATAAGCACTTTTCAAGCACATTTTAAGAAAAAAAAATAAGCACCTGTCTAATTACATTATACACAACTGCATAACTTTAAAAATTAGACTCGTAATTTAAAATATGAGAAATGCAGTATTTATTAAGAGAGAATAAGCATTACCTCAACCATGGAAAATAATTACTTTTTTTTTTTTTAATTTTAAATAACAGTTCAATTTACAGAACTAGTTTACAATGAGAGAGAAAAAAACTATGCAGAACTAAACTATACTACAAGATTTAATGATGAAATTTCAGTTCAAAATAGAGGAAATAAATAATAATAAGGCATATTTATTCTATTCGCTTGAACTTAATAATAAATACAATTTATTTTTCCACTCATATTGACATTTAACTAATTTAAATCTAAATTCTGAACATTTTCTAAATTTTCATCGTATATCAGTTTTCCTTTAACAGATATTGCATGCAAAGTAATTTAAGTAAAAAAGAGGAACATTTCTGAAATCGGAAGACAGAAATTTGCTTCATGCAGTCATCCTTTAACAGTAAAAGCTTAACTACCCGCATACTTGAAAATTGGCGAATATTCGGACAGTCGAGCGTAATTTGAAAAAGAGGAGCGGAGGGGGGATAGACTGCAGCCGTTCTTTGGATTTTTCCGCTAAATAAATGCTTTTTACATTTCGATATGTGCATCAAATAAAAACAAACCAACGGAACAGAAAAATTTTCTGCTTAGCAAGCACAGTAAAACTCTTTTAAGTGTTTATAAACAAATTTCGGACCGAACATCAAAATGATTTATCTCTGCACAATATCGCAAACGTTATTGCGCAATACGTGCTCTGTAATTCTTCCCTACATGATATTATGCAATCGGATTCAACAGCTGTCAGTATTGGGAGAATAAAGAACTAAATAAAGGAAAAGAAAGACTTACCAATCTGGGGTGTTTTTCATTCTAATTTTCAACAGACTGCGTTAAATTTCCGGAATAGAATCATTCTTCGCTTGAGTTGGTAGACCGCAGAACTTTTAGTCCTATCCTATTGGAAAGTGACAAAAAAAAAGGGGGGGTCCGTTGTTTGTTTTGCAGCGAACTGTAACAGTTTCAATTTTCAAGATTTTGTGGAAAAAGGGGAGGACCTCCCAACCTTCGTACTGTATAATGTGTTGGCCAAAAAAATGAAATTATTTTGACTATTTGTTTACTTTCCTTTTATTTAAGCCGTTCGAAGTATTATTAATTAGAAAGCTAATCTGTGTTAAAACACAACCATTTTTGGAAGTTTACTATACTTCAGCAGTTACTGCAACTATGTTATTATAAACATTCGTACATATGTTCATAATATAAGCATAACGATCATAATAAACACGAATATGAACTGACCAAGCGGAACGAGAATGCAAATTATTAAGATCTTGATAGAAATTCAAACGTGTATAATATTTGGGTGGGAGGAAAAGAATGCCGAATGTATTGGAATTTTCTACTGCTTTCGCAATTCTTTGACCAGCAGATTGACGGGCACCTGTCTGTACTCTCCGCGTACACCAAAGGTTATGTTAATGCAGAGAAAGGGGGAAAAGCTATTTCCGGGAGTATGATTCACTATCTGACATTCCATATTAGGAAGAAAAGTTGTTTATTTAGTTTCAGCTTTGGTACAGGGAAAAACTGCGCTTTCATTTAAAAAAAAAAGCACTAAAAGCAAAAAGTAAGCACTAAAAACAAAAAAATAAAGGCTTTAAAAGAAAAAGTAAGCACCTATAAGGGCCTTTATATTTTATTTTCAAATATAAGGGTTTATAAGCACTTATAAGGACCGCTAAGAACCCTGGGGGAGTATACAAGGTATTTCTCCCACCTTCTTGGCGACCCTTCGTGGTGTAATGGTTTGCACACCGGTAGCAGTTTTCCAGAGGTCCGCGGTTCGATTCTTAACAAAGCATTGTTAATTTTTTTATCTTTCCTGCTTTCAAAAATACCTAATGTCTCTACAAGCCTTCCCAAACATTTTGGCTAGTTTATATCAATTTCCTTCTCTTTAATTATCGATCTTTTCTGACAATAATTAGAAATTTGTCTCAATATGCAAACCAATGTTCTCGCTAGTTTCTGTGTGCTTTATCTCCTAACTTGTCAACCTCTCCACAATGTACCTATGAGGGTTTACTTGATCTGGTAAAAGTTAAATAGTCCCCCCCCCCGATAGACGTGAAGCAAATTATCACTGTATCTGAAAGTTACTACAATATCAGACAAAGAACTTAGAACATAAAGGCATGTTCTGATGTTAACAAAATCAATTACAGCTCAACAGTGATGTAATTAAACAAACACAGTCAAATTCAAACTAAAAATGTGGACTAGTGGTCAAAGATAATACAATTTAATTTTAATTTAATCTGGCTCAGTAACTCTATCATATGAGGAAACAGAAATGGGAAGTTATAGTAAAGGCTGAAATGATAAACAATCGGGTAATTTACATAATAACTGCACATATCTTTGAAGAATAATTTTCTTTATATATTTGGTTTCTTTCTTCAGCGTGTTTCCTTTTTATTTTAGAATTTTTGGATTAAATTAAGGATTTCTATTATTCTAAAAAACACTAAATGCATTTAGAATGAACAGAAAAAGCGGCTAATTTTATTCCTTTAGTAATATGAACATTCAGAAGAAATACGAAATATATATGGTAAAGGACGGTTACAGAGCTGGTGTGGCAGAATTTTTAGAATTTAGTGACACACAGAACAACAAAATCCAGAAATGGCAAAACTTTTAAAAATCCAGAAATGGCAAAACTTTTAGAATTTAGAGCAGGCATTGGAAGCGGAATTTAGATAGGCACTACGCAGCAAAATTTAGGATACACAGGGATCGCATCAGGGGGGAAATGCATAGCACCAGCTCTGTGTACGATGCATTTAGACATATTAGATGAATCTCTTAAATTGTAAGTTTTCAATTTCTTTATTAATAAAAAAAAAAACTCTTTCTATAATGCCTGCTCAAGTGATAAGATTAGAAGCATTTTTGATATTTTCTATGCTTTTGTCTAGCGAAAGGTAGAGAAAATAAAGGGAAGATAAACATGTTAATAAAAAAGATTCTAATATCAGAAGTAAAACATTCAAATATTATGTTTCCATTGTTCTTTCAGACGTTCTCCAAAAAGTAAGAAATTCATCGCAAACTTTCTGTAAAATGTATCCATTACATATTGATATGTTGATACTATGGACACATTTTTCATTTTGTCACATATTTCTCGAACCTTCTAGAATCGTGGGTCTATAAATCTTGCCTTCAAATCCTTCTAAACTTTCCATGCTGCAGTGTCAAAAATACTAAAGAAAAATTATCCCAACCAATTCTGTAACAGCAAAAAGCCAGAAATATTTTTGAAAAAAAAAAGGAAGGAAAAATATTCTGAGACAATCACATGGGAAAAACTCTTTACTATAAAAATTAAATTTTTAATTAATTACATAGCTAATTTTGCTTTTGCTAAGAGCTGTTTCGTAAATTGTGCTTTATAGCATTATACCTTATTTATTTTTCAGATTAAAAATATTGTATAAGTTGCCAAAATGAAACTTTATAATATGACAGCAAAAAATAATAATGTTTTATTTTAATGTTATTTTTTAAATATAATTTCAATATATTACCATTATTTTAATGAAATTTATTACATTTTACGATGTTTTAAAAAAAAGCGTCGAAAAATTCTCGGATCTCGGAATTAAAAATTTTCTATAGAAACTGATCTTAAAATCGCTAAAATGTTGATAAGTCGCCAAATTTAGAGCCGCTTAATAAAAGAATTCACATCTCCAAAAGCGAAAAGTTGTTTAAGAGCTCTTTATTAGAAAAAAATTAATTTTGCTATGCTTATGTTTCACTTCTTGCTTAGAACCTCGAGTATCCCATCACTCTTATATTAGAAATAAAAACAAATTATAACCGATGAACCCATTCAAAAGGGATAACCCATATACATCAATGAATTGCCAAAAATATTCCTTTAAAATGCTAATTCATACTCAAAATGGCAGTCGTAAAAACAAAGAGAAATTTCAGATGATTAAAATTAAGGACCTTCAACTGATTTTGGCCAAAATTAAGGACTTTTAAGGACCAAAAATCGATTTAAAAAAATTTAAGGACTTTTAAGGACTCTTAAGGACCATACGAACCCTGATCAAATCATCAATGACAATTCCAGTTCCCATAAAATCCATGTGAGACAGATGGCAAGAAAGTTTACCATAAAGCACTTGATCACTGAAATCATTAACCAGAGTTTCAACGTGGTGGAAAACCCTATGCACGGCCTAGAACTTGGCCTTTTCCCAACTTTTATCTCTTCAGACTGCTCAAAGATACTTTACAAGGTCCTCATTTTTTTATGAACAATGAAGTGTGAACAACTGTGGATGAATGCACAAACAAATCTTCATTACTATCACAGTTTTTTTACGAAACCATAACAGGCATTACTTTGATAAAAGCAAAAAAAAAAAAAAACTTTTATTCCTTTCCATAAATAGATGCTATTTTTTTTTTTTTATTTTTAAAGACAAGCTGAAATATATTAGTAATCATTCCAATCAGCTACAGCCTCTCATGCCATACTGAATTAATGGAATAAATTCAGCCCCAAAAATTCATAAATACAACTTTGCTATTTCCTTACTGATATTTTACACTACAAAGCATATTTTGTCTGTTGAACTGAAAAATTTCATTCCTTAAGTATTAGAAACTCAACAATGCATATTATTATCATATAAAATTTACTGATCAAGATTTAAAAAAAAAAAAAAAAATTGTGTAGGGGAACAAAAATAAAAGTTTAAAATGAATGCAAGAAATTTATTTTTAACAGATTATTGATCACTTTTAATATAAATAGAACAATGAATTACCACTGGAACAGCAGCAGCTGGAGCTGAAGAATATTCAGAATCAGTATTTAAACTACCTTCAAATTCTTTTAATTGAGCATATGCTGGTTTTCCTACATCTCTGATGCCATCCACCTGCAAGACAATGAAATCATTTCCCATGATGATAAACATGTTATCAATACAAATTGATTCATGAAAAGTAGATGCAGTTGTGACTAGTTTTACATTCATTTTATTGTATTTTTTATGGTAAATAAATTGGTGCAAAAAACACGGTTCTTTATGAACAGTTAGTTACGCTGACACTTTACCCTTTTGTAACATATTTAAAGAAAGAAAAGGCAGCAATAACAGCAACCTAGCAGGAGAGAGAACATATTCACAGATTTTATATGGTGATCCAAATGTCCTAACACATGAAACTTTTAAAATTTATGGATATTAATGGCAAATTGCTTCAAAGGAGTTGTTTGTTTCAAAAAACCTTACAAGCAATATATCACTTGAAATATCAGTTGCAAGTTTATGCTATTAGCTTTAAAAACCATTTGTTTGGTGAAAGATGTAGATGAGTTTTTTACAGGCAGAACCAATTTTTATAATTGAGTAGTACTTTGCATACATTTTATTGGGATACCATCTTTATGCAATGCAACATTTCATTCTTGAGTTCATCCAAACTCGGAAGAGATGGGCGACCACTTCATTTCTTATGATGAATGCTTCAGTTTCTCAAAATTAGACTACCATACGGAAAATCATTATCTTGTTAGATTCAGGAATATATGGGAAGGTTTCTTCAATTGCTTCAACAATTTTTCCACAGGAATGCGCTGCACAGTAATAATCAATCATAAAAATCCATTTCATTTGGAGAAAATTTATCTCTACCTTGCATCAAACAAATAGTTCTAAAGCTAAGAGCATAAACTGCAACTAAAATTTCAAGTGGTAGTATTAGTATATAGGTGTTCTTCATTAAAACAATCTGCAATTAACATCCATTTTGGAAAGCTTGATGTGCATGACTTTTGGATTATTCTATACTTTGAAAGATTTTTTAAGAATGACTAAGAATGATTTCGCTTTATTTAGATTTCAGTTTCCAAATTTTGTTATTATTATTGGTTTACTGAGTTGAGTTGAAAGAATATTGAGACATGATATAAAAAATATACATTGCTAAGTGTCAAAGAATATTTTCCAGTTTTTTATAAGCTTTATATAAGTATCATATTCAAGCCTCAATTTTTAAATAACATAGTTTAGAGAGATTTATTATGCTTGTTACTATTTCTACGATAAAAAAGGGAAAATAATCAAATTAATAATGAGAATTACAGGTCTATTGAAATTAAAGTTAATATTTTACTTTACCAATTTTTTCCCCTTTATTTACCTTACAGGTATACATATTATTAGTTATTAACTTGATTAAACTTAATTAAATAGCATTTCTGAAGTAAAAATATTAAAAAATTTGTTTAAGATGAACACAGTGACAATAAAACTTCTGACAAAGTTAATTTTATTTTATTACAAATTTATAACTTTTCAACATAGAGAAAAAATTTCAAAATAGCCTCCCACACACAAAGAGAATTCAAAATTCAATTATTGAAAGTATTTTAATATAATAACTAGTAACAGGATAATTGCAACCCCATTTCAAAAACCATAAAAACTATCATGGAATAAAAACATGACATAAATTCAAATAATTAATAATATTAATATGAAATACATACATATATGTATACACATATATTTTCAAATTCATGATCTAAGCATGAACTTTTTTTAATTGATTAAAATTTCTTTCACTATATCATTTCACACAGTTGCCTTTCATGGTATTTTAAAAAATAACTTCAAAGTTTAGCTCAATTTTTTTGGGGGGGGGGCAGGGAAGGTTCAGTTTCAAGGAACTGGCTGTGCTTATATTTTTCTTTGCTAACTGCTGAGAGTTCAGTATGATCAAGACATTTGGATGTAGAAACTGATTTTTCATTTAATTACTTAAGTCTTAGATTGGAATTTGATATATGCATACTAACAAGTTTTGGAGATGAGAAACTGCTAAAAGGAAGATAATGGTTCATGTAATGTAAAGCATTGTAGCAAGTTGTCCAGTTAGTCAACAAATTATTCCTAATAACTTTAACAGAAAGACCTTCAGAAGGATTTTCTGATTTAAATGCTGCATAAGTACTTTTTAACATCATAAATATTCTATAGTTTCAAAGTATCCAGGCTACCCTATAAGGATCCTCTACATTCTGTTATAGTATCTGCCACATAAATAAATGAATTTTCAACAAAAAGTCCATGTAAGCAAGTTAAAACAGATTTAGAAAGTTTTATTAATATTGGGTATTTCCATTTTCATTTAACCTGAATATTTCAGCCAAAATTTCACAATATTATCAATATCTCCCCCAGCCATACAATACAAATAGAAAAATAACTTTTCAGCATTACACAAATTTTCTATCTGAGTGAACTAACTCAGTGTGCTCATGCAAGAGGTTTGACCTCTCACAAGCTTTATACAGTCTATGAATACAGCCTTTATATAGTTTTTAGTGTTAAAAATTTTAATTTCTATAATATCTGAATGATATATTTATTCTAAAATTAAATCTGAGAAAGATACTAGGTCTGCATTTGATAAATATAGAAACTATGGAACTGAAAACATAAAAAGTTCTAAATTTCGGCTATATTCAGAGCATAATCAGTAGCGCAAATAGGAGTATGCAAGGAATACAGCTGCATAGGGGCCCAAAGCTTTTGAGGGCCCTTGGATATTTTGCTGAATTAGATATATAAATTTTAAGCTTAGGAAGGGGGGGGGAAACTGGTATTTTTCCTTTTATAAAAACATATCTATAATGTTTTTTCAGAAGCAAAACTGGAGTTTCATGTGGTTATAGATATAAGAATAAGGAGCCCCTAAAGCTTCTTTAGTTTCAACACCTTATAACCTTTGTTCCAGCTTTGTTTTTGCCTAGTTCCAGAAAGGCATATCAGGAATTGCACAAAAGCGAAACTGCTTAAATGTCAGTTGAAAGCAAATTCGAAAAGAAAACAAGTTGTGTATTATTATTCTGATTCCCTATAACAGGGGCAATAGGAGGCCTCTTAAGCTTCTATGTTCAGTTCCCTGTGACCTGTACGCTTTAAAGTCATTAATGACACAGGCCACTAATGAGTCTGCATAACTAGCAGTTTGGCATTCAAGCTCACTGTGAAATTTTTTTTAAAGTTTCCGGAAGCAAGCTGTGGCAAAGGCTGCAAAAAAATATAGGTATGTGACATCAGGGCCCCCTAATTCATTAGATGTCCCAATAAGAAAATCCATTGTTTTTTCTTTATTGCTACATGTCAAACGTTTTCCCATACATGAAAAAAAGTTAGTTTAGCATAAACATTAATAATGCACCAGAGGACAGACACTATTGGCTACATATCTATTACTGTTGTTAAAGTTTTGTTAAATAATTCAATTAAAAATCCTTTTACTTTTCATGCATGGAACTGCAACATTGTAACTTTTATTATATGCAATTTATTAAACAGTCAAATTATTGAAACTGATTAGTACGATGAAAGAAAAATTAAGATTTTGATATGTATACAAGTTGCATTTGTCTAATAAGGTAATCAGATTTATTTTGCCCTATTAACAATTCAAATGAATTAATATTCAATTTTCTTGATTTAAACATACTTTTTCATTATTGTATATTGCCGTATTACATTATGTGGATCATCAATCAAAAATTGAACATGAATTTATGAGAAAAATGTTGTTTAATTACATAGCCAAAATTACAGAAGGGGCCAAGTCTATATTGTTAAGTAACTGTTTATATATTTTCCCAAATTTCATTGTATACTTGACTAAGATAATTTTTTGGGGGGGTGGAATAGGCGGAATTAAATCACTACCCAGATACCTAAATTAAAATAATCTCCAGACAGTCAAATAATCTAGATCAGCAGAAGTCGAATAGTCTGTGTTGTTGCTTATGCGCACTTCTCTGACGTAGTCAGCCCAAGCTCATGAAATTCTTCATGGCAAGGAGCACTAGATTATGCCTGTTGTTGGCAACAGATGACACCTAACAACATATTTGGCAGCACATAACAGGTGACACTGTGATTTGGCTCAGTTCCGCCACCAATTTAGATGGAGAGCTCCGAGGGTCTCCCACACCTCTCCCCTTCCACTAAACCACATGAGAGAACTTTCAGCTTGCCACATACTCAGAATGCTGCCATGCCGCACCGATGCTATACATTTACAAACATTTTCCTTCTCCGGGATTTGAAACCGCTCCCTTCGGCATGGCAGTCAGCGATGCTAACCACTATACCAGTTAGGAGGCTCAAATAATCTAAGTTCTATTTCAGAACTTCTGCACATATTCTAAGAATTTCATGTTAAGTCGATAACTAATTTTGAACTTTTCATTTTGTTTAATAAGTCTTTAATTAGTATTATGTATTTTTAGAATTTAAATAAGCTATCACACATAATAATATTTTATTGCAGTATACTGAGGAAAACAGCATAATTTTTAAGAAAATTCAAATACTATGCATATATGTGTTTTTTACACTATTGGCTTTTAGATATGAAATGATAAATAGCACAAACAAATTCTTTTTTGCAGTGATAATATAAATTTAATACAAATTTGAAATATGATGAATAATATGTTCAAAGCTCTTATCATAACTACAGTTCTACTTAAAATCGTAAAAAATGACTACATTCATGCCTCTCTGACAATTTTGCATTTTTTATAGAATCTCGTATAGATAATGCACTGTTGTTATCTCCTGAGATAATCCTAATTCAGGAATGTTTCTGAGGCAATAAAAATGGGAAAATTTACAATCGATGTTATCTCTAAAAGCCTATATGCATTTCAGGAAGCCCATTTCCTGGAATGCATATAGGCTTTTCAGATTTGAAAATCTTCTTAAAAAAAGTTACAAAAAATTGTCAACATATATCCGACTAATAATTTTTCCTTTTCATATGTAAAAAACTGCCAAACTGTGACAAAGTGGTTGCATTACTATGTAAATACTGAATATTTTATGAATTAGATATTTGA